AAATTGCCAAATGTGCTGAGAACCTGCTTGGTTTCACGTGCCTGAAGGAAAGTCGCACGTTCAAAGCAAATGCCTTGTGCTGATACCCACCCTTCTGTGCTTCATTTTTATTTATTTTATTTTTTTAACTATCTGCCCTGTATCTGTCCCTTATGATTTCTCTCAATTTGTCCTGGTCATCAAAAGGCAGTTTATTCTCGGGCCATATGGTGACACTCCACCGATTCTTCAGTCTGATTTGTGTACCAGCCTCCCATCTTCTCAGGGCCTTAAATAACAAGCCACCTCGACTACATTATTACACGATCTGTAACTGTCTTTTGCCAACTTGCCAATATACGTTTACTTTCTTCTTCTTAAAATTTAGAACTGCAGTTCCTTGTTTGCCTAGCCCTGAGCATTAGCCGTTCCTTAGAAGCAAACTCTTCAAACCAGAGGAACACCCTTGGAATGCCATTTTTTCCCTAACGACTTCCCTTCTCAATTGTACAGATCTCTCCTTAATTGTACTAGCAGTCCAAACTACCCTAGATGTCTCAGGCACTTAATGACCACCGCCTGTCCCTGTCATGGTGGGCTGTAATGCGGGGCTATCTTCCGCCATCACTTGCACAGCACCCCGACCTCAGCTGTCTTTCTATGGGTCTCTTGATTTGCAGAAAAATGCTGAAGAATTATACTTCAGAACTGAACTAAGCCTGAGAAATTGTTTGGCCATTGGGCACCTGTGACCAGCAGATGTTATTTCACTGACTTGTTACTATCCGTCTTCCACAGAAGATTAGGGACTTTGTCTTGTTCATAGCCAATCCCACCAATAGATGAAATCTTTGTTGAAAAAACAGGTGAGGCTCGGCCCCTATAGCTCAACCGGCTAAGGCGCCAGCCACGTACACCTAAGGTGGCGGGTTCGAATCCCTAGCCCGGACCCGCCAAACAACAATGATGGCTGCAACCAAAAAATGGCCGGGCGTTGTGGCGGGCGCCTGTAGTCTCAGCTACTTGGGAGGCGGAGGCAGGAGACTTGCTTGAGCCCAGAAGTTGGAGGTTGCTGTGAGCTGTAATGCCACAGCACTCTACCCAGGGGGACAGCTTGAGGCTCTGTCTCAAAAAAAAAAAAAAAAAGAAAAAGAAAAAACAGGTGAAATTGAAACATATTAAAATATAGTGATTCAAATTATTTTGTGAAAGCAGGAGTTGCAGGATGTATTTTGACAATCCAACTACGGTGAGCTTCTTTCACGTTTATGTATAATGAATATAAAGCCTAAATGCTGGCCAAGGTCCATCAGGAAGTCTGGACAAGCTCATGAATGACATGGGATTTTATACTATTTCAAAGGAAAAGCTAGTAAGGGTCTGACTTATTTTGTCCCCAGTTAGATTTTTGAAAAACCCAAACACTATCCTGAACTTAACTCCCAGTTGTGAAAAGATAGTATATGACATTCAGAACCCCTGTAACATGCAAATACCTTCATTTGCTGAAAGACATTGAATGATCTATAATCAAGGCCTAGTCTGTTTTTTTCAAAGACAAAGTTAAACATTTTGTCAGCATTAAGACCAAAAGAATAACTCGAATTAAGACAGTTCTACCTCTTGTAAATTAGAAAAAAATTGTTACTGTAAAGTGGGAAATCCATTCCACCAAATCCAACAGTAAATATTATTAAAATAAATTCAGTGACCTTTTTAAAAAAGATTACAAAATTGAATTTATTGAGTTTCACACAAGATGCACTTATAAAATTAGTATTGAATGCCATTATAACAGAAGAAATGAACGTCATCCTGAACTCCCAATAGCATCTGCAAAGGAAACGAAAATATTCCAGAAATGACAGCACAGTAACAGAATAATTCGAGCAGAGTTTAAAGAGATAGACTCAAACCATGTTCTTGCTCTGATCAGGGCTCTGTTTGGCAAAGCTTTTCCCAACCTTTCCCATTCACCTTGGGCACGGTTCCTTTTGTTGGTGAAAAGGAGATGGAAAAAAGAATAATTCTAAACCGGGGCTCCACTGAAACACACACAAAGCAATGAAAAGTCGGTTCATTTTTAACTTAAAATACTTCCTGGTTTCACAAAGGCATGTCTGTACAACGTCCTTAACATCTATCTTCAGATTTCCTTAGTTAATGCAAAACATTAAAATTCATTTTTGTATTTCAAATGAACAAAGCAAAGCATTAAAGCTTGCTCCATATTTCACCTGGCAAACAGACAAATCAGCTAGAATTTGCCTATTTTGTCTTCGCAGTACCTATGTCTGAAACATAGGCATGAGAGCTGAACAGTTAACAGTATCATCTTCTGGACAGTTTTGAAAACGGAAATTAGTAAGATTTTTATAGAACTACAGAAAGGATTCTCAAGATATGATGGGTAGAAAATAACTTGTCCTGTGATGTAGGCCACATACTAGTAATTAAAGAGAAATGGAATCTAGATCTCAAACAAAACCAAGCACCATTTGGTTCATGTTCCCAACAGCCACACACAAACGCCCCCCACGCCTACACAGCCACCCATGTGCTTGACACCCTACACTCACCCTCACACAGGCCCACTCCCACCTGGCCTGCCTCACCCGCAAGGCCACCCTGATAGCGGTGTCCCCACGCCCCACCTTGGCACCGGTGCACTCAGGGACCACCCAAACAGAAGGACTAGCACATCTTACAAGCCCAAGCAAGATGTTGCCCAGTCCACTTGGAATATTTACTTTAAAAAATCCAGTTAAAGGTGACAGTTTTGAATTTTGTATACTGACAATTTTTCATCCTTCTCAACCAAGACCAAATCCCATTAGCTGTGATAATTTATGAAGCAATTAGTTTTAAAGCGGAAACAGTTAAGTATACCTTAAAGTTAACACTGCTCTGCTTTTTTGGTATAAAAAGTGCCTTTTTGTGAGGAAATTTCTATTTAATCCACTGCAATTAAACGACACATAGCTCACATTTTGCTTTAAAGAATAAACTGAAAAATACGAAACATTTTCCCAGTGATGCTTAACCTTCATTAAATTTTTTAAAATAAACTGGTTTAGCATTTTTTTCCTATAAAATTCTACTATTCATTGTGTCTTATTTAAGGTAGCCTTTTATTCTGATTAATTCAGACACATCTTCAAGGATTATTCTGGTGGTAAGAACATTTATCTTGACTTATGTTTAATAATTTTTTTAATGCTTTGGCAGATGAAGTCAAGTCTGAAAGTTGTTTGTGAACCCAGCATGAGGCTGGAAAGATGACTCATGGTAAAAGCTTCAGTTTCCCAGGTAATCCTTATACAAAGAGGCCTGCAGGCAAAATTCGACGTTGTGGAAGCCCAGGTTGACAAAGCAAAACAGATTCTGCTGTTGCTTCGGTTGGGTCTGGAAGTGATGCTGCTGCCTGGCCAGGCAGGAGGGAGGTTTATGATCCATCAAGTTTCCCAGAAACAAGGCTGGAGCTCGGTGTGATGCCGTGATCTGACCCTCAGCCAGACCACCTTACTGGAGAAAGATACTAAGATTTGCTTGCCAATAATAATTTAAGTTTTTAAATAAATATGTAAGTGCCACGTTTAGCATCTGTCTGCCCTGGCAGCACGGTGTGCACTGGCCTAGGACCCACCCCCCGCACTCAGAGCCGGGTCAGTCAATGCGGTTTCCGCAGATTGTGAACCTGTCTATCTCTAGCAAATCTTTCTTTGAGGATCTGTGTTTTAATTCAGAGTTCTCCTGCGTTATGTCCTTCTCATCACCATCAGGCGTGGTCAGGAACTGGTCAGAACTGCTCGTCACAAGTAACGGTATGACATTTTCCTTCTGATGAACAGGCTGGTTGGTGACTGAGGCAGACAGGTTTTCTTCCTTGGAAAGGCCTGTGATAAAACAGATCCATTGAATGAGAAAAAGATTGTCAGCCAAATTACAATAAATATAAGCTCATCAACATAGTGAGTAATGAAAAAATACCAACTTCCCCCCTCCCTGCCCCATGGCTCTCTCTGTCCCTGGTGGAATGAGGTGGACTTGCTGCTGCTCTCAGAGTCGGCCTCCTGTTCCCATGTGCCTCCAACTCTATCCTGAATGGTCTCCAGCCTGTGGCCTGCTGACCACTCAGACATGCTGTGCAGATCCTCGGATACTCATCTGAAACATACTCCCACTCCGTGACACCCGATCAACAGCAGGAGCCTGGCTGCTTGCTGCCTCCTCAACTGTGGGGAGTGCCCAGTTCCCATCACGCTCCTGCCCCGACCCTGCTTAGTTTCTCTGCAGCCCTCACTGCTATCAGCTGCAGTGCAGGATACTTCTCTCTGTCCTCCTCTCTATAACCCAGAATAAGCTCCTTGGGGCACAGAGGCTGCCTTTTCACCCATGGCTGTGTCCCCCGATTGGCAGATAGCAGGTGCTCAGTCATTATCTACTGAACAATGAACAGCTGATGGAAAGCTCTGGCCCTGTGTCATGTGGCCGTGCGAGGAGAGAGACGCCATGACTAGTGCAGGGACAGGGCAGCGCCTGGAACGATGGACACGCTCCTCGCTGATCTGATCACTGTGCGTTTTACGGATGGCAAAACCACTACGTAGCCCATGAATATGTATAATTATTACGTGCCTATCAAAAAATTTAAAAATTTTTAAAACCACCAAGTGAGGTGAAACCAAATCTGGAAAGTGTTGCTAAATGTTGACTGAACACTGACGTAACTCCTGGAACCAAACCTACCTGGAGAGGGTTTGCATTTGTTCTGTGATTTGCTGGACGGCTTGCCGGGCGCGCTGGCAGGGGGCGGGTTGGACAGCTTCTCCTCCATCTTGGCTTCCTTCACATACTGGCATGACTTGCCCAATAGCACAATGCTATTAAGAACTTTCAGGGATATTAACCTACAATCAGAAACAAACAACCAACCACTGCTGGACTCGATCGGAATCACAGAGAATGCTCCCTACTACCACTGCTGAGGGGAAGGTAGTGGGGTTCAGTGGCATGGGAACAGGCCCAGGAGTCAGAGGGCCAGGTTTGAGATGTCTGAGTCCCTTACATCAACCTGAGTTTCCTGAGGCTTCTTTACCATGAGGAAAAACTTAAATTCCTTAGTTCCCATTAATCAAAAAATTATACTAGTTCTAAGTTTTTCCTGGTAGTAAATAATTTAACATTTATTCTCTTATTATAAAACATTTATGACATGCAGACGGACAAAAAAACCCCATAATTCCATACACTAGTGATAACCACTGTGACAGCTGGTATGCTATCTTCCAGTTGTCTGCTCTGAGTATACACCTTCCGTATTTTCCTGTGGTACAGAAACGGGGTCTATTTCACAAGGCAGGAGCGGGGTGGAAGTGGCAGCACCGACTCTGTGGGCAGCCGAGCCCCGGAGCCCCTGGGGAGCTGCTGTGCTCAGAACAGCGCTCCCAGAGCAGAAAGGTCAAGCACTTTTGTTATGTAATATGTCATGAATATTCTGCTCCGGCAGTTAATGTTCCTCACTGTGTAAGTTAGCATATAACAAAGACTCAACCCGTATTTCTGGATATTTAGATTATTTCTAATATTTTGCTTATACTAAAAAGTTTCTGACTAAGAAAACTCAGGTTAAATGTGTATTACTTTAAGATAAATGCGTAGGTACCTAAAATTACAGAAGTGAAATTTCTGAGTCAAAAAACATAGGATAGTTTAAGGAATTTGATATAAATCTGGCAAAAAAATTGTGGGAAAAAAATCTCGCATTGGTACCATGTCACACATAGTGGACCTCGGATCATATAGAGCCAGGACGCCAGACCAGTTTTATAGCGGGTGAGAGGCAGACCGTGATTGTTATGCCAGAGATGAGCTCCGGGCAAGAGTAGGAAGCTGCGGTCAGGGAGGAGAAGTCTGAGGAGGGTCCTGGGGGCAGGTGAAGGGAGAGGCAAAGCAGGCCCTCCTGGAGCCAAGGCCCTGAACTCTGATGGACCCCACAGACCTGCAGCCACCGTGCCTTCCCTGTGCACAGCGCTCCCAGACCCGTCCCTTCCCGCACTCCCGAATCTCTGCTCACGCCCTCCATCGTGTCCTCAAGGAGGTGTAACAGGACTTGAAGCACAGCACAATGCTAGGAGCTTGCAGGGAGGTATGTGGGTTCCCTGACGGGCTGGTTCACGTGGGAAGCAGGAAGTGGTGAACAAGGAGCATCTTGCTGTGATCGCCACTGAATTTAGCTGCCTCCCCTAATAGCTCTGTGGGACAAGGGCCCCAGACAGCCCCCATGAGAGCAGCTTGGAGAGGAGAGGAGAGCGCGGATGAAAGGATTCCTTGAACATCTGCCACATAGAGCTCTGGGCCCAGGCAGAAAACACATCAAACCATGAAAGTGACACCACAGTGTCTCTGGAAACTAGGTCCTACCCTCTGGAAGAGGAAGCGAACCCACCCCTACACTTGTCATGTCTGCTATGCTTGCTGCCTCCCCCCGCTCCCCCTGCCCTTCTCCTCTTGAGATTTTCAGATCTGATATCCTCCACTGACTGCAGTGCCCCAGGTAC